ACAAGTCTGGGTGATTTGGTTTGAGGAAAGATGATGACATGGGCCTTTGCTACGTTGATACGGATCTTCCAGCTGTTGAAATATACTGACAGGACATTTAGGCCTCTCTGAAGTTTGGCGATCACAGCTCCGCTGACCCTAACCTTAAATATGATGGATGTGTCATCTGCGAACAGAGACAGCGATCCACCATCAGGTCTCCCTATCCGGCCGGCATATCGGAGGTGAACAGAAGGTGAATAATATGGGGCCAAGGATGCTTCCCTGTGGAACCCCGCACCGATGGGTAAAGCATCCTATGTGATGCTATTGAGAGAGACTTTGAATGTCCTGTCCGAGAGGTAGTTTTTAATTATCTTCACTAGGAAGATTGGAAGACCATACTGCTGCCATTTATAGACCATTCGCATCGTGCCAAACATTGTCGAATGCTTTTTACACATCCAATTCGAAACAGACTTGTTCCGTCGGAAAATGTGTGTCATTCGAGTCATCTGGTGGACGGTCGAGCGACCTTTCCGGAAGCCAAACTATTCCTCGAGTAACAAGTTGAGATCTTTCGAACAGCATGGATAACCCTGAGAGAAGGCTGATGGGTCGGTAACTTGAAGGAGAGGAAGGATCCTTCCCAGGTTTCCGAATGGGGACGACTTTAGCTAACTTCAAGCGCGAGGGGAAGTAGCCAAGTCAGATGGTTGTAGAATCTGGAACTCAAGTACTTGAACTCCAGATTCAGAATGTTATCGAAACCTGGGGCCTTCAAGTTTTTGGAAGTTTTGATATAAACCATAACAGTTCGTCAGCCGTGATCTCGGATTTCTCGGGAAACATGTGAGGAACCTGGTGGAGATTGGTTACATTTTCAGCAACCTTAGCTTCGTGAGGGATGGTGAGATTGTGGGAGATTGTGGGATCTGACGAAATGTTGACGGCAGTCTTCTCTTAAGGTGCTATCAGGTGAACCACTGAACCGTCGGGACAATTCAGTGGAACCAGCGTTGGAATAGGCCTCGGTTTAGTTTTGAGGACTTTTGTTAGTTTCCAAAAGGATTTTGCACAATCTGGGAGGGTACGGATGTTATTGGCAAAGTTCTCATTTCTGAGTTCCACTATTTTTGAATTATAAGTTCAGTTAGACGGTACTGCCTACGCATGGCGTTACGGAGTCTGATTAGGCTTTTAGTATTCTGATCAAGGTTCAGAGAATTACTCACCCGTCTGGAAGCTGGCACGCGTTGTTCCTGGAATATCGCGTCCTCGACGGCGCACAGAGATCTATCGATGTCATTAGTTGTCCCAGTGGGGCGCCGAAATCGATGGCTTGTTGGAACCGATCCCAGCTTACCCGATGGTAATTCCGACGAGAAGCATAACCTCGATTAACAGAGGAGCCCACCTCGGCACCATCGGAAAGTGGTCCGAGCTTAACTCTTGATGGGCTACCGATTGGGAGATGTTCTCCATGTTGCTGACGAAGATGTCGATGATGGAGTGCACGTCAGACCGGCTCAGCCGAGTTGGAGCGTCCGGGTCCAGGATGGTGTACTGGGCCTCTTGCAGGTCGTCGTTCTGGATGGTGCCGTTCTGATTTCGCCTTTGGTTACCGCAAGCTTGATGTTTGGCGTCCAGATCGCCAGCGATGATGAACTTTCCACGGCGTCGTGTTGTCTTGATAATATCCCTCCGCAGGTCTGCAGCGGATCCATCCCTAGCGTTGGCTTGTTTCAGGCAGTAGGCAGCAATGATGGTGACGGGACCGACGGGTGTGGAGACTTCCACTCCCAATGCTTCAATCATTTTCAGCTGGAAACTGGGTAGCAGCCGGCAACAAACATTCTTATGCCCTTTTCTCGCCACCCATATGACACCAACGCAAACCATCAACATCGTCGGATAGGGGGAGGTTTCCCCTTTCCGATGATATTGTTAGTTTGCGTGGGAGACTCTCGGTTGGCGAGAAGAGGGCCTACAAGAGGGCCTGTTAACAAAAAGCTTGTATGCCCTTTTCACATGTTGTTCTTGACTTAATTTTTACAACGCAAAAACAAATACAGTTTTTTACTAGGATTAAAATCTACTTTGTTTTATGTATTTATAACAAGCTCAAACTCTATCTACTGCTTCAAAAAGAACTATGTTTCGTCAACTCTGTGTAAAGTTATTAGCAAATGAGCCGTGACCAAAACTGTTTATGCCAAGCATGGCCACAGCTTGGAGTTGGTCGGATTTTTTCTAGATGGTGTTGGCAATGTCGTGCATCTTGAGGAAGATGATCATTAGTTCCGCTGCGGTGAACCAAGAACCATCGTTGATTTCGGGCTGCGGTAGAGACGGGCGATCCTGACGCCAGTGACGGCTGTGGAGCAGCTGTCGTCTGTTGACCTGAGTTTGCAGGGGCTCCGTCGGTTTGAACTTAAGCGACGGTGAGCAGCAGCCAATCGTTTATTGAGTGGCAGTGGTGCCAGCACTACTATAATCGGTAGTCGTGGAACCGGTGGGAAGTTCTGGTCATTCATTTCCGGCAGCTTCTTGCGGCCGGGCTGGTTTCTCGTCGATGCTTTCTTCCGGATCTCGATGTACTTGGCGCGCTTCGGGCAGGACTTCATCGCATGTGTCGGTTTTGTGTTGCTTGCCACACTTGGTGCAGCGGCTGGCCATACGGCAATTCTTTGTTCCATGCCCGAACAGCAGGTACTTCGAGCATTGGTTGAATCCGCAGCTGATCGGCTGTGTCCATGGCATATAGTCCTCGCAGGACCAACTTGAGCGGCTTAACAGCCTCGATGTCGTGGGAGAAGTACTCCACCTGTGCTTTGTCCAGCGTGGTCTGCATGGCCTTGTAATGTTGTTTGTATCCTTCCGTGCACAGCTTGATGGTGCACCAGATCCCCTTCGTGATGTAGAAGTTTGTTTTTTTCCGCAATCCGGGAGGGAAGCCCTTAACGTAGAAGGGTGGCATTCTGTCCTTCTTCAGCGGTCCTGTTGTTTCCGTCACCGGCTCGGCACCGTCCTTCAGAACGGAGAACCGATTGTTGTCAATCAGCTTCTTCGCAGCTGTCGCACTGTTACTGTTGTCTTCAGGCCTAGACAGTTTCCCGGGATTGCCGGCAATCGCGCCACCGCTTGATTTTTTACCCATGGCAGGTTCAGCGAGAGCGTCACTACTCAACGCGAGAATACACGAAAGTCACACTCACTTGAGAAGTTGAGAGCTTTGTAAAAACGTTTTAAACCATATTTGGACAATTACGTCGATTGTAATGGATTGAACAGTAAGCAGCAAATATATGTAAATTAATAAACACAGTGTATGTGTGCGTGACGCTGAGTCAATTTCTAACTGGAGTGTGGACGCTGCTTAGATTGACAAACATACGTAAATTCCCCAATTGCGATAAAACAAAATTCGTGCGTTTTGTGCTCGTGCATAAGATTATTTTGCATAAGAAAACGGGGCGTTTCTGTCGTGGAAAAATAATGCTTTCCCTTTCACAGACCTCACAATTCAGTACCTAGAATTGGATCGGTCGGTACTTTTGGTTATGCTTTTAGATTCAGTCGTTTATTCATTGGAAATTAAACTTGTGTTTGGTTTGCTGAATTAAGTCTAAGAATTCTCTAGAGCTACTCCAGTATCAGTACTTGATTTTGGTCTCTAGGTTTTTCAAGACTTTCTTAGTATCATCCGCACTTACCATTGCACAGTGGTACAGAATGCAGATTTAGGTGGAATGATATGTTTTGAGCCTGAAATTGAAACTTTAGACTAAAAGTCTCTTCTACAAAGTTGTTCCTTATAGTTAGGGCCTCATTTTTATGACAATGAATTCTAGGGTGGTTCCTATTATCATTAAAATCAAAAATCTAACTTTTTTGTTTGAATAAATTAAGGTATACATTCTTGGGCAAAGTTATAGCTGAGCTAATTTCAAGCAACTTTGTTGAAAATAACTTTTTTGTATCTCTTAAATTGGCCTATTTAGAGCTATTTTCTGGAATTGAGTTAGAGTGGCTCTTAAAAAAACAGTTTTTTTGCTCTATTTTTCTTATTTCGAATTTCTCAGCAAATGTGTCTTCAGATAACTTTTAGATCTTAAGAAGGCGCAAATTTTTGCTGCACAAAGCTTGTCAATATCTTTCGCCGATCAAGAGTTATTGACGTTTGTATACTAAAAATATGCACTTTTCAAATATTAATATCTCTGGTTAGGGCAAACAAAAAAAAAAGTTTTTTTGCAGCATATGAAAGGGTGTTTGTTATTCTCAATAATATGAAAAAAAAATGGAGGTATGTTATTTTTTAAACTCGTATAAAATCAATTTGAATTTATTCATATTTTTTACTATATTTGGATATATCTTTTTTATTAGAAGAGATACAGGCAACAAATCCAGGTATAAAACATTCGTCTTAAAGAGTTTTAAAAGTCTCTAGAAGATGATTTTCATGAGAATTTTCAAATAAAAAAGTTATTGGCAAAAGATGGATTTCATAGGACCACTCTAATGACAAATTTATATAAAATGTGCTAGTACATTTTTTAAGAGCCACCCTAACTCAATTCAAGAAAATAGCTCTAAACCGGCCAATTTAAGAGATACAAAAAAGTTATTTTCAACAAAGTTGCTTGAAATTAGCTCAGCTATAACTTTGCCCAAGAATGTATACCTTAATTTATTCAAACAAAAAAGTTAGATTTTTTATTTTAATGATAATAGGAACCACCCTAGAATTCATTGTCATAAAAATGAGGCCCTAACTATAAGGAACAATTTTGTAGAAAAGACTTTTAGTCTAAAGTTCCAATTTCAGGCTCAAAACATATCATTCCACCTAAATCTGCATTCTGGACCACTGTGCATTGTGGTATTGCTTGATCTAGTTTAAAACATTTTCTATATTACACCTGTTTGAGGTTGTTTTAATATTTGGTATGAATTTAACTTATTTTTAAATTGATTGATGGATTCATCGTACTGTTTCTTTTATTTTTTTGCAGACCGCCTTCCTCACAGTATTCCTGTTGCCATTTCGAGTGATACTCATCATAGTCTGTCTAGTGATAGCGTGGACTTTAGCAACAATTGGACTATACGGAGTAACCCGTGAAGAGTTAATGACGAAACCTCTGTCCGGATGGAGACGGTGAGTAATTTTTGCCATCTTGCTATAAGTTCAATCATTTCCTTTCCGAAGATTTTCAGTATTTTTTAGTAAACTGTTTCTTTCACATAACTTGTTATGTTTTATGCTACTACTAATACTTAACCCCGTCATTAACCCACTCAACTGGTGCTCCCCAATATGATAATGACAGCAGCTCAAATTTGCCAAAACAAGAAACGTGCGAAACTCAAAATTCTCATTGATCATTATGGTTTCGTTTGTTCATTGTTGTGAAACCAATTTGTCCCCGCCTGAGACCGCAGGTCATCTGACTCTCCTATCAGTCACACTTAGTTTGTTAAACGAATTATAAACACACATGTAGGTAACCGTAAACGAGTTTGCGGCAGTTATAGCACGATCGTACGGTCGTCACGCCATGCGTTCGAACGAACCTTTGACTCTCTTCTACAGCACATCCAATGCATTCAAAGCGGCCCAGTATCACAATCGGCCGATACGCTCGCTGCGGCAGGGTTGAGCTGAGCAGCATGTGTTTCTCTGTATAAGGTAGACGCTACGATAACGTTCTCCCGGCGTTGACTTTTGTTCTCTGAGTAAAACTGAGCAACAAGTTAGTGCTTGTGGTGCTGCATTGTAATTTCTCAACTTTTTAGCGTGCTGGTGTCCCTAGCATTGAAAACGACTAAATGCAGTGTCAATGTCAAGAATGGAACAGTTTAGCGGCGGGGTTGTTTTGGGAAGGTTGTGTTGAACGTAGCGCTAGATAGATGCTTATTGTTTGCTTGGGATTATATTTTTCTAGTTTCCTGGTGTTGAAACGGTACTTACAAAATCAAGCCTTTGATAGGAAGATTTTAGCATAGCAACTAAAATAAGTAGGGGAAATGTCTCTAATGTTGGCCTATGGATCTAAGATTGGGCCCATCGCTAAAAATCTGCTATTTATCAATTTTATCTAGATGAACGCGTTATTGGTTACTAATGGATATTTTTGGTTGCTATTGAAAATTTAGTCAATTTCTGAATTTATGTATGGGCCCAAATTAGGGACACTTAGGCCGACGTTACCTGCATTTCCCCTATGTCTTATGAGTGGGGAATCCAAACACAGAAAGCAGCCAGCAATTAAGAAAAAACCGCTTGCGATAAATTGTGCATGCGACTGAAACCTGCTGCGACGTTTTCGCTGGCAACACTTGAGTTTCCTATGTCGCCAGTGGAGATGTTAACGTCGGAAGTCGCAACTTGGACCTGCGAACATCAGTTAAGTGGTGGCGTGACAATAGCTTGATCGGAACGCTTGAAAGGAAAACGTTTATACCATGCGATACATTCGTTTAGCCGCACCAACTTCTCTTTGAAATTAAATCCAAGTCGCTTCGGATTTTCTTTATTTTATTTCTCTCTTCAAGCTCAAACAAGTCACATAGTTTCTTCAAAAATAGTTCTTCTTGAAAAGTTCATAACAAAAAATAAAAAAATAAACAAAGTGTTGCATTCGTTTAGCCGCACTTTCGAAAAAGTAAAATAAATTCAAATTTTTCATGAGCTGTTGATTCTTTAGTAGGGTATAGCGCTACTTCGTCGTAATCGCCCATTTCCGTTCTATCGATCAGAAAAGATCAATAATATCAATGATTTCACCGTGCACAAATCAATAATAGGTTTGTTTCGATGCGCTAGCTCATTAGCTACAACATAAATCCTGTTAGAGGCGTTGTATGAATATTTACGCTCATTATTCTCAAAACAAAAGAAGCGCTCCTAGCGAATCCCCTTTTCTACGTTTATCCGTAGGACGAAGAAAATCTAATGGCGTTTCTATGCGTTTGGACGGAATCGAAACTCGTAGGTCGGATTTAGAATCAAGAAGTAGTATTAGATATTAAACAATATCTCAACAACTTATGATTCTTTATCAAATCCAAATCAAATCAAATGGAAAGGTGAATAAATTTAGAAGTCATCTTTGACAGAAATATTCCATTTTTTGTTTAAACTCGTTCAGCAAAGAGAGGTAAAGCGCGGGTTGTGCTTAGTAGGACAGAAATTAGATCAAAACCCTACTCCTCCTTTGTTCCTAATTATATCGAAGATTCACTTGGGCATTTAGGTTACAAGATTCTGGATTATCTGAGCGTCGATATGCTCCCAGCATTCTCTTATGCACGCTTTTAGGTCCTTCACGGTGTTGAACTGGCGTCCATTTGCATAAACCTTTGATGCCATTATTCCCAAAGGTTCTCGATAGGGTTACAATCCGGACTACAAGCTGGCCTTTGTTTAGCGTAATGCATGGATTGAGGCTTTATCCTGCTGAAATCAGCCGAATCCTCCAGATAATCCTTCAAATACGGAATCCAAACTTGTTCCAGGAGCTCGCAGTAAGTAGGAAAATGCACCCCATACCATTATCGTTCCTCCTCCAAAATTTCTCTTGGATCAGATGGCCTTTTTATCCCTTAAATCGTGCCAATAATGGCTGTAGCAATCAGGACCAGGGGTTGACACTGGTGACGTTTTTTACGACGCTCGCTTCGTTGTCATGCGCGACAGTCTGTTTTTATTCGTACTCTTATGCTCTACCGTCGTCTCTCTTACCTAACACAAACGGTAGAACAACATTCGAGCAAAAAGAAAATTTTCAAATTACTATCATATAACATGTGTGATTTCCTTCTAATTCCTCAATTTAGTGTAAATTAAACCATTTCTGATCAGAAATGTTGTTACTAGGTCATCGTTGCTTGCTATTTTCAGAATTCACACAAGCACAACATCCGCAGCTCTTATTATGAGAAAAACTAAAATACATACATTCGTGACGGTCTTCGGCAACAGTGTCGTATGACAGAGTCTATCATATGACATTTTAGTTTGGTACTGTAGTTTGATAGCTTGTTTCGCAAGTGTCGGAAACAAAGGCAGTCGATTATCACAGAAAATATGTCGACTACGGTGACCACTTACAAGACTGATCAGGACCGTCCAAGTTGAACTTTTTCTCATCAGAAAAAAAATACGTGGTTCCATTCATTAGTCCAGTGCATGTGGTTCTGTGCAAATTTCAATCGATTGGCTTTATGCTGGGATGTAAATTTCGGTTTTGTTCATTTTATGTACGAAAACGCATTGAGTACGCGACTAACGGTACTTTTGTGCACTGGAAGATCGAGTTTGGTAATAATCTGGCGGCAACTCAAGTGATTTTGCAGTGCTTCGATCCGAATTTCGCCTTTTTGTCTGGCTGTCAATTTTGAATTCCCCTTGTTCCGTACCTTGAAACCACATTCCTTTGGATTTTTCAGATAATTCCGAGCAATCTCACGATGAGATTGACCAGAATCTGCTAGAACCCGGATTTGGCCATTTTCGACATCGTCCAATCGTTTTGCCCTTCCCATGTCTGGAAAAATCAAAATCAATGACATGTACTGCAAAAATAAGAAAGAGGAGACTTACTTCAACGCTCGCTTCAATGCAGATGTATTACAAACTTTACGTAAAATGGTGATAAACAAACATCTACTGCGTCTAAACGTTTGCAACGCGGAAAGCAGAAAATATGTCAAAATCTAAGAGGAAGAGGAGACAACTGGCTTCTTTTTGTCTGTGACATGTTCTTCTTCTCTCGCTGAAACGATCGTACGAAAACTATTTCATTATAGGCGACGCAGTCGACTGTCAAAATAAAAGAAAATAGTTACGTTTGCCCGACCAATCAGGCGCTGGTTCGCGTTTGACAGAAAATTGGTTCACAAAAGTCCCCCTATTGTCTCATCTTCCTCTTACGTCAAAATGAAATCTTCGAATTCGCAAATAGTTTTATTTTTGTATTTTTTAATTTGGTTGAAAATTTCCAGAAATGTTCCTTATGACCGACTATCCCATGTTGCATCTTCATATCGCCAATTTGATTCCAGCCTTATTTTTGAAAAGGGCCTATAGAAAAAAAATATCAAGCTTATTTTTAGAAAACTTTTACTCGAAAACTGTTTGCCCGATAGGTTTGGTGTCTTGGGCAATATTGCAGATAATGGATGAGACTATTTGAAAAAAAAAAACATATGCACTCTAAAAAAAATTACTCAACTTTTTTTTTTTAATTTCAAATAAAATCTTAAAAACTATTTTTCTCACAAAAGATTTTTTTGTATTTTTTTTTTAATTATTTTTATGTTTTAGGGGACAAAAAAATGTCATCTATTGCACTATAGCTCAAGATGGAGAAATGATGGACAAAAAAGTTATGTTGTTTCTTTTCAAACTCAAGTTTTTGTAAAAATATCCAATTCTTGGTCCAATTACTTTTTCGACTTTATATAGTGAAATTGCACCAAATTTACAATAAAAAACACTCGAGTAAATTTTTCCAAAGTTGTACCGTCTTCGAGATGTAGCGGTCCTAAAGTAGATATTTTTAAAATGTTGGTAGTTTTTGGTCATTTTTAAATGTATTTCGTGGTTCTCCAGTTCCGACAATTTTTTTTTTTGAGAAGATCAGAAAAGCATTTTCATTGTTAAATTTTCTGATCTTTCGGAAAAAAAATATTTTCGGAACCAGAGAACCGCGAAATACATTTAAAAATGGCCAAAAACTACCAACATTTTAAAAATATCTACTTTCAAACCGCTGCATCTCGAAAACGGTGCGACTTAGCAAAATTTTACCCAGGTGTTTTTTATTGTAAATTTGGTGTACTTTTAATATATAAAGTCGGAACAGTAATTGAACCAAGTTTTGGATATTTTTCCAAAAACTTGAGTTTTTTTATAAATCAGAACTTTTTTGTCCATCATTTCTCCATCTTGACCTATAGTGCGATAGATGTCATTTTTGTCCCCTAAAACATATCAACAAAAAAAAATACAAAAAATCCTTTTTTTGATAAAAAATGTTATTAAAACTTTATTTCAAATAAAAAAAACAATTGGGTAAATTTTTTTAGAGTGTATATTTTTTTCAAATAGTCTCATCTATTCCCTGTATTATTGCCCAAGACACCAAACCGATC